AGGAGTTCACTGTGAAACAAATAGAATGTGAACAACCTGAATTTTGAATATTACTATGACCTCTTAAAAGATTGGATATCATTTATTTCCTCCCACTCCACCCTCTATCACTGAATAGAATGAAAATTTAGAAGATTCCTATATGGAGTATGCTTCCATCAGTAATCACTATCTTCTAGAGGAATAACAAGGTTGAGATGTGTGCCTTAGCTTATAAATCCATCTGTCTTTCCATGATCTAAAATACTGAAGTGTTGTTATATTAGCCAGCTCAATTCAAGATGTCTTGCCTTAAGCAATTGGAAACTACTGAAGATCTGTCTGTCCTCCTGTTGTTCATCGATTTGCTTGGGCGGGCCCAGTAACGTTTCCATCATGAGACTTGTTGTTACTGTGTTTGGCATATTGAATACATCATGGGTAGCTTATCAGGATTTGCCGTGCGGGCGAGATACTCTTGGTAGCTTGCCGGGCTCTCCGAGAGGGGCGGAGGAATTGAACTCAGGTCGGCCATGTTGGCTGCGTGCAAGGCAAACGCCCTACTTACTGTGTGATCGCTCCAGCCCACTGAAGATCTATGAGTAAAAATATTTAAAGAATTTGATGAAATTTGCCTTGTAGAAAATTCATCCAGTGGGGGTATTAAGAATGGATTAGAAAAAAAAATTTTAAAGTAAAGCAGTAGGAAGACTGTCAGTTCAGGCTTGCAAACAGAAGCCTAACAAAGCTCAGAGACTAACTGAAAATTATGAATAAATCATCTTTAAAACAGAAAACAAACATGGACATTGGTAAAACCAAGCACTCTCATATTTTTCTTAAAAACAGAACAGCGGACCAAAACATTTGGCGATATGTGCAGTAGAGTCACTACTTTCAAAACTGAGGGCTGGCGAGGGTAGGAGGACGTCCATCAGAAAGAGCATCAGTGCTGACTGCAGTAGGCCAACTTCTGTTGGGGTCCACTGTCCCATCCTAACGGTCCACCTGTGTTTTCTACACCAAGAATATAGTTGTGAACACGAATACAACCTCCAGAAAATTTTTCAGAAGCCTTCTTAAAATTGAGCTAGGGATTGGAGATCATACATCTAACAGATAATTGGTTGGCATCCAAATGTTGCTCTCTCTCTATCCCAGAAATTCTTTCTACTTTTTTACTTGTATCTGTTATGACTATATCATACTAGTTATTTGTCCATCTCTTCCACTATTATAGACCCCCTGCACGTCTGCTTTTCTATTCCTTTATAACATTTGGAAACTGTCCTTAATTGGGTGCCCTATTTTCACTACAATGAAACCATAACCTTTTATGCTTGATTTTTCACCCCACATCTTCAGCCTTCCCCTCTAAAGTAGACTTGACATCTTAATAATGAAAGATAGGAGATGATAAATAGTAGGGAAAACGTAAGAATTTTGTCTGCTGAGAAATTATAATGGCCTATCATTCTTAGATGTATTATTTTTAGAAACTAGGATATGCTTTGGTTATTCAGTCCCATAGAATGAAGAAGAAAATAACTTGTAGCACAACTCTAGAAAATAATATCAGAATAAGGTTTCATTTCAGTCCTTCATATAACTGAGTCCTTCATATAACTGAGAAAAGCATTAATATAACAGATTATCATGATTATGTCAAATGGAAATAAAAGACTTGATGAAAATGTATAATTTTAATTATACATTTAAATGTGTTTAAATGTGTTTTGTAGATATTTATGAAAATTTACAGTGTATATTGAAAGATGATTTTTATGGGGGTGTGGGGTGTTTGCTCCATGCCCAGTGGTGCTGGAGGAGCATGTAACACTGGGAACTGATTCTGGGGTACCTCCACATAAAGCTTATGCTTCAGTCCTTTGAGCCAGTCCTCTGATCCAGAAGATTTTTTGATTTTTTTTAAATTATAGTGAAGTGTATACAGTATAAAATTTATCATTTCAACTCTGGGGCACCTTCTGGAGGCAGGTGGGCTGAATACCCACCAGACACCCACACCCACACCCCCCCACTGCAGCCACAGCAAGGGCTCAACTTCACCGCTCTCAACTATTCTCTGCAGAGACGCCAACGTGTGAATAATCTCAGGTGCTTGGTCACCAATCCAAGAATGCTGGTGTTCAGCAGAGTCAGTGTGGGGAGTCCCCGTCCTCCACTTCCCCCTACCCCCACCCCCAACAGACACTCACACACACTGTGCTTCTGGATGGCTCTGCTGCCCCACCTCTCACAAACACCACCGCCCTCTTAACTCACTGGCCCAGATGCGACCTTATGACACCTCCTAAAGTTACAAACATCTTAATGAATTTTTACACTAGGACTTAACCCTCCAATCAGCTATAACGATTTTCACATAAATTGAAATTTTTATGCCTATTGATTTTAATATTGGAGCTTTGTTACCTAATCAATTTTAATTCTAGAATTATAAAACCGTTTATAATTGTGGCTTTTTTCTACATTAAAATAAATTTTTAAACTTGTTATTTCAGCCATTTAACACTCCTCTTTTGTGGCATCCCACAATATATATACACTGATTTCAGCCATTGCCATTGTCTGCCTGTTCTAGCTTCATCATGTCTATCCTTATGCTTTTCCATGCATCCATTCAGAACACACACTACCTCTCCCTCATCCCTGGCAGCTATTCTATCTTTGTGGAATTGACTCCTCTAGGGACCTCATAAAAGAAGGATCCTGGTAATTTTTCTTATGTCTATTTTTTTGTTACTGTCAAAATTGTTCCATAATGTCCTTGATTCACTGAAGAATGATACCCAGCAATCAAAGCCCTGGAAACTCTTTTCCATCAGCTATGCCCAGAACACCTTTAGTTAAATTTTATCTCATTGGAATCCTCACAGCCACTCTAAGAAGTATGTAATAACCCACTTTGTGAAGATGGGCAGAAACACCTACAGCCTTTTAAGTGGTTTGCTCATATTGGCTTATAGAATCACTACAGGACATGAACTGACATCGGAATTTTGATAACATTTGCTACAACTAATAGTTAAACAGCAATATGATAAAGATAAAAGTCTCAGGATCTCTCTTTTCTTTTTTTTAAATTTGTTTAATTTTTTTTTACTTGAATCACCATAAGAAACACTGTTGCAAAGCTCCCCATGATTGGGTTTCAGTCCAACAATGTTCCTATACCCATCCCTTCACCAGTGCACATTTTCCACCACCAATATCCCCAGTTTCCCTCCCACCAACCCTCCTCTACCCTGCCTCTATGGAAGACACATTTGTTTTCATTCTCTCTCTCTCTCTCTCTCTCTCTCTCTCTCTCTCTCGTGCACGCATGCTCTCTATCTCTCTCCCTGTCTCTCTCTCTCTCTCTCTCTCTCTCTCTCTCTCTCTCTCTCTCTAACTATGTCTCTCTCAGGATCTTTTTCTCAGTCCAAATATGATATACATAAGTATGTAATTTCTAACATGAGTCCCTCCTTAATGGTTATCACTGCCTTGATATAACTTGAAGAAATAATGATATTAAAGTTTTTTTTCAAAGGTAAAGTACTTAAAATGTACCTCAAAGACTAGGAATTATGCCCCATTTTGTATAACATTGAAAGTTTGGAATAAAAGTAACGCCACTGTATTCATTTGTATACAACATATAGCAGTCAACTCTCTTCTAATTTATCAGTGTTGATAAATGATACAGCCGTTCTCTAGACAATTTGCTTTGGATTAGACCAGATAATTTAAACAATACTAATTAAAGTGAAACCCTTTTATATGAATTCATGTTCATCAAGGGAAAGGAAAACCCCTATATAAAAGATTCAGGCACGTTTTACTGGATTTGTTCCTTAACATTATTAACACGAGCTAAAGTTGTCTTAGTCGAGTAAATTGAGTTACATGGGATAAGTTTGTGCTGTTGAAAAATTTACATATCTCATAGATAATTTAAAGAATACCTGGGGTCAGAGAAATAGTACACTGTGTATGGTTCTAGGAGCACTTCCAGGAGTCATTCCTGAACACAGAGCCAGGAATAATCCCTGAGCACTACAGAGTGTGGCCCCTCCCCTCCCCCCCAGAAAAATAATAGGTTTTGAATTAAGTTAAGGCATTTGTCTTGCATATGCTGATTCCAGCTTAATCCCTGTGTACCACCAGGAATGATCCTTGAGCACAGAATCAGGAGTAGCTCCTGAGTACTACTGGGTGAGTCCCTCAAAAAACAAAGATAACAGAATAGATGTGGAAGCTTTATTTAAAATCATATTTTCACTGACATAAGCCAAATATTTAAATTTTTCTATCCCATGAGATCTGAAGATGAGTAAAGGCATCTCTACCAAAAGGAAACCAAGATATTAGGAAGTCTTCATTGTTTCAGGGGATTTGCTATAACTTGATATCATTGTATTTATGATTTTATGGTGTTAAAATGAATATTGAATGACACAAAATTCCCCAGGATTGCTCAGGAGGCAGCTAAGTACATACCATTTTGTACAGATAGTTGGAAGGTACAATTTTGCTCCATCACTGCATCCATATCCCTGAACGATTTCGACTGAAGACAGCATTTCTTTGAATTTTTCATTAAATCAGACGTCTTGAAATATGAATTCCTTTTATGTTTCTGTGAGTTTTGGCTAAAAGAACCCCAGTGAATAAATCATATGATACTAGGTGTCACCCGAACTTGTGAATATTTCTGCTTTGTTATTCTATTCTCAGTAGAGCACCATTGATTATCAAACTCAGCGGAGAGCGTTTTATGATCATATATCTCCATTAGCTTCTAGTTTGACTACCATAGATTTTTCTGGTTAAGCTTGCATTATGTATTAGGAAGCCTATCTCTTCAATACAAAGTTTGATTTCATTTTTCTAAGCCCAGAACTCTTATTATGTATTATGTATAAAGATCCTTATCTTTTATATGTAAAAATAGGCTGTGCTGTCTCTGTGTAGCTGAAATCTATGCCATCATTTTTTTCTTTCTTGATTCCCAGGAAGCATGTTATACTATGAAGATGAATCTCTACAATGCAATGGCTGTCAAGGTAAATATTTCTTCACTTGTTAAACAAATGAAAAGTCAATTGTGCCCTGAATTCACTTTTAATAAAACGAGCAAACCAGAATAATGCAAATTTGATTGATATGCTAATGAGAACAAGAGGAAAGAGCTCCTGGCTTCAAAAGTTAGTTCTTGGTAGTATTAAAAAATTTGAATAAAATACAAAACCTGTAATTATCAGTGCTTCCATTTTAGAGTGTTAAATATCTTTGAATCATAACTAGAACAAGACTCTAAATATAATGAAGTAATGTATTCTTCAGATGTCGTCTAGAATATTGTGATAAATAGATAAACAATGCTTTGGAATATAAGATTCCTGCCCCATACAAATCAATTAGAAATCATTCACCTGATTTAACTAATAAAATCTGTTTCCAGAGTAGAGGTCATATTTCTACCATTTTTTGGTTAATTTTTACATGTTATTTTACTGATTTTACTGAATTTAATGATTATGAGATTCTCATGGTTCTACAAGAATTGAGGATTGGTCACAACAAAAATATCATTTCTACTCTTGTTATTTATTGCTAATCTACTACATATGGAGGAATTATGTTCCTGAATTCCCTTAAAATCCATGTTGCCTTATTATCTTCTCTTTCATTCTACTAAAGGGTTTTAATTTGGGTGAAGCACAGTAGTAAAAGTACCTTCTGAAAGTCCAGTATTGCACATCTGGCAGGTAAATTGTCCTGATTTGGGTGATATGTTCTACATTGGGAAGGGTGGTTTCCTTTATGACCATGAATGTGTCAGGACTGTGGGTGGAAAAGAGTATCTGTCTTTGTCTCTACACTCCTCTGTCCTGTGCTTTAAGAAGATGAAAGAAGAGAAAATGAAGAAGTAATCCTTCTGCTTTTTTCACTGAGCCATAGGCTTCATATCCATATCCAGCAGCACTGGGAAAGACCCTCCTACAAACACAATAAGAAAAATGCAGTTTGGGCCTCTTCCTTTATTTATTTAAATTTTTTTAATTGAATCTCTGTGAGGTAGACCCTTACAAAGATGTTCATAATTAGGTTTTAGTCATACAGTATTCCAACACCCATTCCTCCACCAGTGTACATTTCCTAGCACCAGTGTTCCCAGGTTCCCTCCCATCACCCCCCACTCCCCACCTCCCAGCCTGCCTCTCTAGCAGTTGCTTCTCTGTCTCTGTCTCTGTTTCTGTCTCTCTTTCTTTGTCTCTCTGAGACTCACTCTGTCTCTGTCTCTCTCTCACTCTCTCTGCCTCTCTCCTTTTAGGCACTGTGGTTTGCAGTATTGATACTGAAAGGTTATCAGGAATATACCTACTTTTAATACTCAGTTCTTGTCCAGTGTGATCATTCCCAGCTATTATTGTCATACTGGTTTCTTTTCTATCTTACCTACCCTCCTCACCACACACACTTATTCCAACTGACCAATCCTCCTAGTCCCTGTTTTCTCTGGCCATTTATATTAGTCTTCTACTATATATTTTTTTATGTACAACAAGTGAATGCCATCATTCTATATCTTTCCCTCTCTTGATTCATGTCACTCAGGATGAAACTCTCCATATCCATTCATTTATAGGAATTTGCAGACAATATGATACTATACTTAGAAAATCCTAAAGACTCTACAAAAAAGCTTCTAGAAACAATAAATTTTTATAGTAAAGTTCCAGGATACAAAATCAATGCCCCAAAGTCCATGACTTTCCTATATAAAAATAGTTAAAGAGAAGAAAGAAATATTAAAATAACAATCCTGTTCACAATAGTGCCTCAGGAAATCAAGAACTTCAGAATCAGCAAAACGAAAGAGGTGAAGGAACTATCACTTGATCACTTGATCCCCCGTTATTCATCGATTTACTCGAGCGGGTGCCAGTAACGTCTCCATTCATCCCTGTTGCATGCTAGCGTAGCCCAATGGTATCTGTTCGTTCTAGGAACATGCAGAGCCTCAAACCAATCATTCAGGGTCTTGATGAAGAAGTCTGACCATCTTGTAGGTGGGCGTCCACGTGATCTTTTGATGTCCCGTGGAATCCAATCAGTAATGGCTCTAGTCCAGCGGTTGTCTATAAACCTCATTACGTGTCCAGCCCATCTGATTTTTGATGTCTAGGCAAATGAGAAAGCGTCCCTGATTCTTGAGCGTTGACGAAGATCAGAACTCCGGATTCTATCTCTCATTTGAGTGAATCGTGATATTCCAAGCATAGCTCTTTCGATTCCTTTTTGAGAGACCCAAATAGTGTTCTCATCCTGTTTTCGTAGGGTCCAGGTCTCTGAGGCATATGTTAATGCAGGAAGAACAGTGGACTCAAAGAGATGTGCTCATAGCTGGAGGTTCTTTGTCCTTTTAGTTATTTCTTCAACGTTCTTGAAGGCATTCCAAGCCGCTCTCTTCCTCCTGCGCAACTCAGGTGCCAGGTCATTCATCATGTTGATTTCTCGACCTAGGTATATATAACTGTTGCATTCGGAGAGGGTGGTTCCGTTGAGAGCAAATGGAGTGTCAGGAACAAGGCTGTTTCTCATAAACATTGTCTTCGTAAGATTCAGCTATAGTCCGACCTTTCCACATTCACGGTCAAAGTCGTTCAGCATTTGTGCTGCTTGGCTGATGTTCGATGTTATTAGAATGATGTCATCAGCAAAGCGGAGGTGGTATAGTTGCCGACCATCTATCTTCCCTCCCAAGCTTTCCCATTCCAGTTGTCGCATGATGTTCTCGAGGGTGGCACTGAAGAGTTTTGGTGAAATGGTATCACCCTGCCGAACCCCTCTCTTGATATGGATGATTACTTCTTTGTAGAATGGTGAGATCTTGGTAGTGAATCCACAATAGAGCTCACGAAGCATCCTGATGTATTGAGTTTGTATGCCCTGATTGGCTAGGGCTTCCATGACCCCTTGCATCGCAACAGAATCAAGGGCCTTCTTTAAATCAATGAACGTTAGACAGAGCGGCATCTTGAACTCCCGAGAAACCTCAATGAGCTTAGTAATCGTGTGGATATGGTCGATGGTACTGAATCCTTTTCGGAATCCGGCTTGTCACATGGTTGTCCTTCATCTAGTGTTCTGCTAATCCTATTCAGGATGACTCGAGTGAACAATTTGTAGACAACAGACAATAGGCAGATTGGGCGATAGTTGCCAATGTCGTGGATGTCTCCCTTCTTTTTTTTTTTTTCCCCCTTTATTTTATTTTATTTTTTTTAAAGTTGTAGATTTACAATTTTTTGTGCTTTGGTTTCAATTATACAATGATCAGATACCCATCCCTCCACCAGTGCCCATTTTCCACCACCATGGATAATATCCCTCCCACCCCCATCCCCCCATCCCCCCGTCTCTGTGGCAGGGCAATCCCCTGTGTTCTCTCTCTCCTTTTGGGTGTTGTGGTCTGCAAAAGAGGCATTGAGTGGCAAACATGTTCAGTCCATAGTCTACTTTCGACATGCATCTCCCCTCCTGGGAGGATCCTCCAAACATCCTTTATTTGGTGCTCCCTTCTCTATCTGAATAGCCCTTTCCTCTAGGATACCCGGCTGGCCTCTAAGTTATGGAGTAATCCTCCTGGTGCTGATCTCAGCTATTCTTGGGTATTAATCTCATACTTTGTTACTTTATATCCCCCAGATGAATGCAATCTTTCTATGTCTATCCCTCTCTTTCTGACTCATTTCGCTTAGCATGATACTTTCCATATTGTACCACTTGTATGTAAATTTCATGACTTCATCTTTTCTAAGAGCTACATAGTACTCCATTGTGTAGATGTACCAAAGTTTCTTTAACCAGTCATCTGTTCTTGGGCATTCAGGTTTCTTCCAGTTTCTGGCTATTGTAAAGAGTGCTGCAATGAACAAACAAGTGCAGATGTCACTTCGACTATACATTTTTGCCTCTCTGGGATATATTCCCAGGAGTGGTATTGCTGGGTCAAATGGGAGCTCAATTTCTAATTTTTTGAGAATCGTCCATACTGTTTTCCAGAAGGGCTGAACCAGTGGACATTCCCACCAACAGTGAAGGAGTGTCCCTTTCTCGCCACATCCACGCCAGCATCGGTTGCTTTTGTTCTTTTGAATTTGGGCCAGTCTCTGAGGTGTGAGATGGTATCTCATTGTGGTTTTGATCTGCATCTCCCTGATGATTAATGATGTAGAGCATTTTCTCATGTGCTTTTTTGCCATTCGGATTTCTTCTTTGAGAAAGTTTCTGTTCATTTCATTGCCCCATTTTTGGATGGGGTTGGATGTTTTCTTCTTGTGGAGTTTAACCAGTATTTTGTATATCCTGGATATCAACCCCTTGTCAGATGTGTATTCGGTGAATATCCTTTCCCATTCTGTAGACTGTCTTTGTATTTTGGTCACTGTTTCTTTGGAGGTGCAGAAGCTTCTTAGTTTAAGATAGTCCCATTTATCTATCTCTGTTTTCACTTGCTCGGCCAGTGGCGTGGCATCTTTGAAGATACCATTAGCTTCAATGTCATGGAGGGTTTTGCCAACTTTATCTTCAATGTACCTTATGGTTTCTGGTCTGATGTTGAGGTCTTTAATCCATTTTGATCTTACTTTTGTACATGGTGTTAGGCAGAGTTCTGAGCCTATTTTTTTGCATGTAGCCGTCCAGTGATGCCAACACAATTTATTAAAGAGGCTTTCCTTACTCCACTTCACATTACTTGCACCTTTATCAAAGATTAGATGAGCATATGATTGAGGAGAGATGTCAGTGTATTCAACCCTGTTCCATTGGTCTGCAGTTCTGCCTTTGTTCCAGTACCATGCTGTTTTAATTATTACTGCTTTGTAGTACAGTTTGAAGTTCGGGAGGTTGATTCCTCCCATTTTCTTTTTCCCAAGAATTGCTTTAGCTATTCGTGGGGGCTTATTGTTCCATATAAATTTCAAGAGTGTTTGCTCCATTTCTTTGAAGAATGTCATGGGTATCCTTATAGGGATTGCATTGAATTTATACAATG